TAACCCTAAGGCAATTGAGTCGCGGTATGAGCACCAGTAGTGGTCGCAAAGAGTATATCAGAGGCGTCTCTAACGCGTCCGACAGGACTCTCAACGAAGACGACGACTACGAGAATGGCATCATTTCCGACGGAATCCTACACTTCTGGAAACAGTTTTGTTTTGATGAGGTTTTGTTCAGTTTTACATTGTTTTATATGTAGTGTTAAGTAATGTTATTTGAATGATAGGGACATCCCTTCCTGAGGGTTACCCCAAAAGTGGACACAGAATTTGTAGCAAAAGTGATGCATAAGTGTTGGGAACTAAATGTGCCTAAAATAGTCACATTTATTGTTTCAAACAAATCTCAATCAACGAATTGGACGAATGAAAGACAGATTAAAACATTTCAAAAAGGACTCATTGATGTATGAATTGATTTATTGCTTATACTTTTAAAACAATGAAATTTATAACATACTGTATATTTTAAAGGAAATGACTATTTTGTAGATATTTTTTAAACACAAATAATTAATTTTGAAAAACATTAATAATTAATTGAAAAATTCATTTGAAAAAAGGCAGCGATTTCTACAAATATGTGGATTTTTACCAATGGTTTTAATAGCGGTGTCGCGAATCTGATCGGAAATGCCATTAAAAATGAAACAAATAAAATGCAAATTAAAAGGACGTTAAAGAATCGCAACTTAACTAATCTGATAGGAGTTGTGTCCGAACATGACTTAAGATATGGAGAACTTTTAGCAGCAAATACTAAAGTAGTGAACAGTTTTTGTTAAAAACAGTATTATTTTTACAATATTGATATAATGTATTTCTAAATGAATGGTATATTTCAGGAACACTTAAACCTTGAAAACGACGGCATTTTATACGGGGATAAATATGAACTGAATTCAAATCACACACATTTCATAGTAATTAGAGACCGACTAAATGACGGCAATTGTGTCGATGACTTCACTATGAAATTCATCAAACTTTTGACCAGAGAATCAATTTATTCGACTCCAGAATTAGGTTTGAATTGGGATTCTTCTGATGGATAACTCATTTCTAATATACTTTTTGTTTATATTTTATGAGATCAGTTGCCGTGACTCCAGACTCGTTGGACTCGCAGATCAGTATAGAGTCGAGTGAAGTACCTGTGGTTTCAATAGTGATTGAAGGCGATTGTCAAACCGCTAAACTAGTGGTCGATCTCATCAAAGCTCGCATTCCGGTTGTGATACTACGAGGAACCGGAGGTATTGCCGATATCATTGCATTCGCTTATCTGGAGATCATTCATCGGTGTCCTAATTCATGGGATCTGGAATTTGTCGAGCAATACCTCAAACCAATGCTCACCAAAAAGATTATCCAATATTTTAATGATTTAAAAGACAACACATTAACGAGAAATCTATTGAGAGATCGTATCATAGAGTGTGTGAGACTCCATAGGAATGAGGGCCAGACATACCTAACGGTTCTCAATCTGCACAACACTTCTTCGTGTAATCTCGAAGATCTAAGACATCACTTATTGTCGGCATTACTTAAGTCCCGCCATTCAAACGATGTGACCGACAATTTTCGCAAAAACCTGGAGCTAACGATGGACTGGAACTGTCCAGATGTGGCCAGAAATGTCATATTTGCCAATAATGCCAATAATATCGTCCGATTAGACAAGAATCTGTTTGAATCGGCACTCATTCACCCGAATCGCGAGGCATTTATTGAGCTCTTTCTCTCACTCGGCTTTCAATTGCATAAATTTGTGTCGCCGTCGAGACTGAGCCGACTCTTCAAACAGATCCACGACATGCTCAAGAAGGCTTGGGTGACAACCCTTTCGTAAAACCCGGCTGGGAGCACACACTCTGTTGGCTTTATGAAGTAGCTGTTGCTGGATTTGACCAACTAGCTCTAAACGTGGCCAAAACTCTCAAACGTCAATACAGAGACATTGCATCTCAATGTCATGGGTTTATATCAGAGCAACGCTCTCTCAGCCGAACGCAAGGCATTGAATATATTGACCATTTGGGCGGTTATGCACAATAGGGATAAATTGGCCAAGGTGTTTTGGAAACACTCGGACCAGCCTGTGCACTTAGCGCTGGTCATATCGATGATGTTTGACCGGTTGTCGTGGTATGCGGTCGACAACAATATGAAATCAGATCTGAAGCTAAAGTCCAAAACGTTCGCCGACTTCGCGAACGGAGTGCTCGACATATGTTATAACGAAGACATCTTTCGGGCCAATAATGTGCTCAATCAGTCCATTCAGGACTGGAACTACAAGACAGCCGTCGATATCGCGGCCAACGCACAACGAGTTCTTCCGAACCCACTGTTGGGAAAGCATTTTGGGCCGACCCTCGTGTGTGAGACAACCGAAATACTTCATCGACAACGACCTAAACTGGTTGATCGAGATTTGCACCGGTTTTGAGAGTTTTGTCAATACAGAGACATTGCATCTCAATGTCATGGGTTTATATCAAAGCAACGCTCTCTCAGCCGAACGCAAGGCATTGAATATATTGACCATTTGGGCGGTTATGCACAATAGGGACAAATTGGCCAAGGTGTTTTGGAAACACTCGGACCAACCTGTGCACTTAGCGCTGGTCATATCCATGATGTTTGACCGGTTGTCGTGGTATGCGGTCGACAACAATATGAAATCAGATCTGAAGCTAAAGTCCAAAACGTTTCGGCTGAAGCGCTTGCCTCACGAGCTGTATACAATATTGCTTCTGTAGAAAGCCCGGTTATTACACGAGTTAGTCAGGTAAGTCCTGACCTTGATGTTCTGTCGGCAGCTATAGCGCCGGTTGCGTGAGTTGCGCCAGTTTTTGGCCCATCCCTGTTGTCAGAAGTTTTTGACCAACACTTTTCTCGGCAATATTAGACTCCGGGAAATAAATTGGGGTATTTTCACAATACCCGCAGCCATTAAAATACTTTTGTGCGCTTTCTTTGTGTTTCCGCTCTTCATTTGGGTTCGCTTTAAGAACAATGAGATCGAAGTGATAGACAACTCGGCCAATGAAGACGAGTTTGACGACAGTTACGATGAGATCTATCGCGAAGACAACACCACGTCATCGATGGTAACCGACGAGACGGCCGATCAGGTGAAGGTCGGGTACGCGAACCCGTCGTTTGCCAAATCCGTGGCCAACAGTTACGACACGATTATCAGTCGGAGTAAGAATCGCTTCAATAACTCAATCCGCGGCCATATGTTTGTCGCCAAACCTCCGCCTTTGTGTCAGATGTTGTCGATGTTCTTCTCGGCGCCGATCACCAAGTTTTATGTCTCGCAACTCTTTTACATAATATATCTGCCGTTGTTATCGTTGTCAGTGATATATCCGGGATGTGGTCTCTGGAAGCTCGACGTAATGGTCTGTATTTGGACGACAGTATTGTGTATCGATTATATCCGTCGGACGTATATTATCATCAAAAAGTATACATCGGTTCCCGTGTTTCTCAAGTGCATCGAAATCGCGTCAATCATTGTCTTTATTGTAATACTTTCAGTCACCCGAGTCTTCAGTATTCCCATAATCTCTCCGTACAAACAAAAGCTCACTCTTTCGGTGGGAGTCCTGTATTTCTATTACAGACTAATTGGCATTTATTTGCCGATATCTCCCACATTGGGTCCGCTATTACATCGGCTAAAGCTAATGATAACCGTAGACTTTGTCAACTATATGCGAATGGCTCTTCTGGTCATCTTAAGCAATATGGTTGTCATGCAAGCGGTTCTCTATCCGGACACTGAATTGTCAGTTGAAATGTTTCACAAAGCCTTTCACAGAGCATTCTTCTCGCTATTCTTGACACCAGTGGTCGAACTCGAGAGTCTGTATTCAATCCAATGTTTATTTCAACTAAAATTTAATTGTATTATTATTTATAGCCAATGAATATTGTGAACAAAACGAGACATTAAGCTATCAACCGGAAGATCAGTGTTCAATAACAGGCAATTATAAGTCGACTTCGTGTGCCAACACCGGTGTCTGGGCCTATGCTTTCTTCATTCAATACTTGGTTTTCTTGAAACTAATTTTGTCCACACTTTTGGCCGCAATATTTACGGCCACGGCTTCGAAACTGTCGACCGAAACGGACAATATATGGAAATTTCAGCGATACTTATTGGTCATTGACTTTGAGAACCGACTGCCACTTCCGGCGCCGTTCAGTATATTTTGTTACATATATTTTATATTTAAATTTTTCCAAAATCTGTTTTGCAATTTCAGTCAGTGTTGCGCTAATAATAAGGTAATCAATCATTTAGTTATATGACATTTTATTTATAACATTAAATTAACTTTTTGTACAGAATAACAAAGCAGTGATCAGTAATAGTAATCCAAACGAAGTGTACGAAAGAAATAAACTGACGCCTGAAGAATGCATTTATTGGCAACAATTGGCCGCCGATTATGTCGAAGAGCTCAACGCACAGACGGCCAAACAGCAGATCCCAGACAAACAGTGGGAATACATTCAGTTGATCAGCGAAGACATGGAGTACGAGAAGAAGATATTAAGAGAAATTAAGGGCAAAGTAATGGGTTTGGAAAGGATTATAATGAAAGAGAAATTTTCATCCCATATGTATGCGACCCAAGAGTCCCATAAGACACTGCTCTCCCATTACTCTCCATATCCGGGAACAGCGATAACTCGAGTCCCGCTTTCGGATAAATACATACTTTGGGAAGTATTGCACATCGACTACGAGCCCATCGCTTATAGCAAACCCATCAATGAGTTTCCCATTGAAATGCAAGCCTTTGTCGACGAAGACATTATCCATCTGAAGGAACTGAAGCATAGAAAGTCTGATCTTAACGTACAGTTCCCTCGCTATGACTGGAATACACAGGAAGTGTCGCCCGAGAAACAGACAGTGAATCGTATTTCGTGGCAAATGAATACCGACGGCTCATCTGTTTATTACAAACTTGAAGACAATTTTCTGCCTCGAAATCCATTTGGAAGAACAGGACTCAGAGGACGCGGAGGTTTTCCCCGTTGGGGACCAAATCATTACATTATTCTTGTGATTACGAGATGGCAGAAGAGTTCGGCAACCGTTCAGCCGAGACACAGATATCTCGAGATAGTTATTGAGAATTTGCTATCAAATTCGGATCAAATTTGTTTACCAGAAGTAAGTGACAAAAACAGCGTTTAATTTGATTTTATTAATTGATAAAATGGCCAATTGTTTAGCGTTTTGTGAGCGGAGACGACTTGTTTGGAGAGATTCAACAATTATTTCGTGCGGACTCTGAGTCCAGGCGTTGGGTTTTGCCGGAAGTGATCAACTTTTTCAAGAGTGTCTGTTCGGCGACCGATGAAAATGGGTTTCACTTCAAACTAATCCAAAACGGATATATCGATGACTATATGAATACAGACAACGCGTGGAAAGAGGCAAAGGTTTGGCACATTCACTACGAGTGTCGCGAATATCTTAAGAAACGTTTTGTTGACAAAAGGCTTAACTGGAGATTACTGTCGGACAATGTATTTTCTAAAATGCATTTAAGTCAGAGTCATATAATGAAATCAATAGCCGAGACGCTAAACGCCGATATTGTTTAATATTTATTATTTTATTAATTACAGAATATTCTTATTTATAATTTTGTAATCAATTTTAATCACTATATTATTGTAATTTTATTTAAATGACAAACACTTAAATATATGTTGTGTTCATAATGTCATTGTATTTATAATTTTTTAACAAAAAAAGCCAAAGCACTGAACCCGAAGAATAATAGCCACAGAATTGTTACCATAAATCCTACCACAACCTGATAGTGGCTGAGACCCCAACCCCTTAATAATATAGATCTAAGCGATTCAATGGCCAAACTGGAGGGCAATATTTGGCTGAAATATCTCAAACCTGTTGGCATACTCTCCAACGGCCAGAACATACCGCCCATTATTACCGTCGGGAAGAAAGCGCCGATACATAGAGTGGTTGCGTACATCTCGTCCGGACACAGCGATGATATCATGAGACCAAACATGAGTCCACAGCAGCCCTGGAGGAATGTGAGCGCCGACGCCGACACAATTGATCCCATGTTAGGCACCGCGAAGACGGCGAACGCGAGCACTAGTTTGAGTCCCACTTGAAATGATAGCATAAATAGTTGCAAAATAATGTGCGATAAGACAAACTCCAAGGGCTTCACTCCGGCCACGAGATTCCTGTCCACTAAGCCGTCGGTGCGCTCTTTGATCAGCAGATGACAGGTGACAGTCGTTGTGGCGAAATAGGCGACAACAATGAGAGCACCGGGAGATACAAACGAGTTGAACGACGGGTTTTTCGTGCCATAAACAGGCGGTCCGTTGTTTATCAACGGTTTCATTGAATCCATAGTTGTGTTGTGTTTTTTGCCCAATTTATTCAAAAAATTTAAATACGTTTCCGACAAATAACTCTGGATTTGATTACCGATCACTTGATTAGACATATCTATACGGAGTTGTATTGAACTCGCGGTTATAGTGTCCTTGTCTTCGGACCCGAAATACAATCTATAAGATAGCGATTCACTGAATGTGCGGTTAAAGTAAATAACGGCCCAAACTTCGTTCACTTTGACCGCATCGATGGCCGCATCCAATGTCTTATATCGGATCAGATTAATGTGATTCTTGTCCACCGAATTGAGAAATAATTCGCTCAAACCGTTGGCCTTTTCGGGATTATAGACAGCGACCGGAATATTACGGACGTCTTGTCCCACGCATTCAGTGATGAGACTGATCTCAAGCGATGGCATTAATATGAAAAACAAAAGTAAACCAAAGTTTCGCGACATTTGCTTAAAGTTTTTGGACGTCAATGCGATTAAGCGGTAGAAAGAGTTTGTGTCATCAATAATACTCTCTTCTCTTAATTGAATCAAACCATTGGCTATACTCTGCTTTCGGACGTATTCTCGACACAAATCCTTGCACTCCAACGAAGAGTTGTTGAGTTTAGTCTCGGTTTCTGTCACTCCATCACAGGATTCGCGGCACTCGTCGGGAATGTAACCATTGTTTACGTGATAACTAATGGGACGAATGTTTATCAGTTTGGCATCACTTTTGCTTTTTTTGATGTCTTTCATCGGAAATTGGCATTTATTTGAATTGATTTCCACTCCTTTGCCGTTAGAATAAGAAGTTTCGTTAGTCTTCTGATTGTCTTGAATTTGCGATAATTTAAGAAACACTGCCTCTAATGTGGAAAATCCATTGAGTCTTATGAGTTCGTCCGGCGATTCTTCGGCCAACAGTCTTCCGGAGCGCATGAAACCAACCCTTAACGCACTTCTGGCCTCTTCTATGTAATGTGTGGTCACTATTACTGTCAATCCGTTTTTGCATAAAAACTCTAAGTGTTTCCAAATGGCTTCGCGAAGGATTAGATCCACGCCAACGGTTGGCTCGTCTAGTATTAGAAGTGGAGGATTGTGTAGAAGAGCTGTTGAATAAATGTTCAATTAGTTTACACACCAATCAATTGACATCGATTTGAATACCCGTTGCAATTGAAACTCTCCTCTTCTGTCCACCGCTTAATTTAGTGATTAGTCGTCTTCTGTCAGGCAATTGAAGCAAATCGACCAAAAACTCAATTCTCGAGTCAATCACTTTTGCTTTAATACCAAATAATCGGCCAAAATATGTCAGTATCTCTTCAATAGTGAACTCTTCATAGAGGGCCAGCTCTTGAGGCATATACCCAACTCCAGGACCGGGAACTTTGCTTTCGGGTGAACCCGGTTTTCTACCAAACAAATGAATGGACCCTTTGTTTGGCTCCAATCTGCCCAAAGCACACTTGAGCAAGGTTGTTTTCCCACACCCACTCGACCCCAATAGGCCATAAATGCCTCCTATTTAAATAGATTTAATTAAATATGATAAATGATTTTAACATTAATCATTAAATCCATTTCATACAAATTCTTAACTACTAATTATATTTTAAAATAAAAAATAAAATAATGCCAACCTTTAGGTACCGTAACATCGATTCCTTTGAGTATTAAAATCCCGTTTTTATAACTAAAACAGAGGTCACGTATTTCTAAAGCGTTTTGCGTTGACTTCATTTTTACCGTCAATTCAATCAAATTTAAATAGAATTTTTGAGAAATTATATGCTATTGAAAAATAAATTTTATTGGAAATTAATAATTAAGTCAAGTATACCTTTTGTGATCCAATAAATGTAACACAAACTACATTATATATTAGATAAACACTAATCATGTGAATAAATAATGAAATAAATAAAGTAATTAAAATCATTTCAATTAAAAATACAAGTTTGCAAATTTCCGTATACTGTATAATGATATTGTGATACAAACAATTATATTTTAACAATTACAATAAAACAAATCTAGACTAATGGTGTAATTTATAGAAATTTTAGTTTTATTTTTTAATAAAATGTTTGTCAAATATAAGTTACTGGTCAACAATACTCCCATGAGTTAAGTGCTAAACTGCAAAATTGGCTTTATTTCATTAACGGTAAAGTAAATAATCATCATGATTGTTGTCACACTTTATATTATAGTTTTATGTAATTCTTGTTATTACAATATAATTTACAGATCAGTTAATTGACATTTTTTTAATCAAATTTAATATTATTTGAATTAAACGTTTGATTCAATTTTTTAATTTTTAACGATTATATCGCAAGTGTTGGACATTAAGTAATGAATCGATTTTGTGATCGGTTTCGAGATTTATTCACAAATAATCACAAAACTAACAAAACAGTAATCAATTGAATGTATGTTTAAAACAGTTATTTAATTGTATTTTGGATTAAATATAGTCTCAAAACTATGCAAAAGACTCTTTCGATCGATTCGGTGATGATTTGGTCCGACTTTTATTGTCTTACCATTCAGTCGGCGAAATATATAAATTACATTTCATTCCAACCTTTCGAGACACATGTCTTCACGAATGTGTGTCCAAACGATTCCAGCGATTAATGTTTGACACATTTAACGATATTTATATCAACGAAGATATGATCGTTAAATTAAAAGCCAAAGAAACTACAAATCATTGTCTTTCGGACGAAGAGTTGTGTCAGAAATTGATTGTATTTATGCAGAAGAAGTGTCCAAACATTCAAAGAGTTTATTACGTTTGCATAATAAATGGCTTTAAAGATGAGACGTATCGGAGACCACTGTTTGAGGCCATCGATCACTCGCGGAACAGTTGGCCGTATCTCAAGAGTATTGACTTTTTCCGCTATACTTATTTCGAGTCAAATAGTGAGGCAAACCATCAGTTTCTTGAGTATATGTTCACCACATTTGGTCCAATGATCACTCAATTAAAGCGCTATAAAGAGAAGCTATTGCCATATCTCTCCAATTGTCCCAATTTATGTCAGTTATGGACTAATGGCTTGCAATCCATGTTTACCACTGAAGAAGACAACCAATTAATAGCTTTCAATCGCATGAAAACAATTCATATCATTTGGAGAGACAATGATTTTAATGCCCAAAGATTTCAAATATTTATTGATTACTATAAGACACGTCTTCGTTGTCTCGCTATTGAAGATATCGACCCATCGATTGGTTTGCAATCAATGGTCACTCAATTGATCACAAAATTGACTCAATTCCCAGAACTCAGAGAAATAAAATTAGATTTTGACACCGAAACAACTCTTCAGTATTCACTCTATGATAGTCTGAAGACAATTGGTATGAAGTGTGCAAAACTCAAGAAGTTTTCAATATATGTTGCTTCAGACGACACGGTATTCATTGTGAAGATAATAAATGCCATTCAATACATGCGGCGATTAAAACGCCTGCACTTATGGCTCAAATTTGATGGCAATACTAATGAAGTGATCACCGATTGGACTCAATTACAAGCATTGAATCGTTGGCCACAATTGACACACTTATATATCTATTTAACCACAATTAATGGTCTCAATGCTCTACAAGAAATGATTGAACAGATTGTGTTCAAACAATACAAACTACAGTCACTGCAAATCATTGGACAACGCCTTAGGATTGACAGCCAATGGTTGGCATATATGGCAAGTCTGTCGGCACTGGAATCGCTGGATATTTCATTCACAGGAAAGTTTGGTTTCAAAAAATCCAATTTAAAGCAAATGATCCAAAAATGTCCAAAATTAAAGAGTTTTCGTATCTTATATGAAGACACCTTTTGTTGGATTTATTACGATAGCAATGGTCTTTGTATACGATATGACAACTTACTTCACAATTGGTTCCCATTCTGTCCTCTTCTTTAAGACAATTATTTATTTAAAATATTTTAATTTTAGCCCATATTTGGTCACATTTTTATTCGACTAATTTATTTCTCATTAAATATTCTGTGATTTCATTTAAATGACATATTTTTCGCAATAAATTCAATATAATATTCATTTCTATTTAACCATTGGTTTTGTAATAAATATAGACTTCATTTGAAGCAAAATACTAGTTTTTAAACACAGTATACTGTAAATTATGCCTAACTTTACATTTATGGTCAACAATACTCGCATGTAATTTAATAAATTAACTTATCGTCATAATTGTTGTCACGATTTATATTGTTCTAGGTTATTGTTTTAAATTTGAATTATTCTTTGTATTCATTAACACATCCATCAGTTATGTCTCAAAAAAGACAAGTCTTTGTCTTAACACTGATCTTAACTTTACTTGTGATCTATGGGTTTATCACTCAAAATAATTGGTTAAATGTTATCCAAATTAAAGCAATTGAACCAAAGTTGGGTTCGAGTATCATCTCAGACGACATCAATATTACAGATATAGTCACAGTGTCTACACTTCAAAGGGTTGACAATCATCTCAAGAGTTTATCACAATTGAAACCAAACAAAAGTGGTTCACGTCTTGTATACGCGGACGCGATGTTGGAAATGACAAACATTACTATCGATAAGGAGTCGTGTAGTGAAGAGATGGGTAGAGATCTGCTCCTCATTGTTATGGTATTTAATAGAGTCAATAACTTTGAGAGAAGACAAATCATACGTCAGACATGGGGTCAAGAATTTAAGACAAATAATAAGTCGAGAATATTCTTCACAATCGCTTTGTCCAAAGATATCGACGTTCAGACAAAAGTGGTCAAAGAAAATGAAGAATTTAATGATATTTTGCAATTTGGTTTTTATGACGACTACTATAACTGTACGATCAAAGCGATGGCACTCTTGAGATGGACAGCAATGAAGTGTCCATTTGTTAAATACATGCTTAAAGTGGACGACGACTCACTCGTTATACCAAACAATTTGCTTGACTTTTGCCGATCGAGTGATGCGAACGCTATATTTGGCTACAAATGGCATAAGGCTTATGTAAAACGCGGTCGAGACAAATGGTCATTAAGTTTGAAGGACTATTCGCACAACTATTACCCTGCTTACATCAGTGGCCCATATCTCATACCCGGCCACTACTGTCTGGCATTGTATTCGACGGCAATTACCCGATACTTACCGGCGCTTCCCTTCGAAGACGTTTATGTGACGGGAATTGTTGCCAATTATCTCAATATTAAGCGTCAAAAATTGGATTCTGTCTATCATTTGGGGCTGTCTTGCGATCCATTGTCTCTCGACTTTTTCTACTATAAAAATGGGTCCATATTTTGGCAAAGGTTTAACGATAGCTCTTTGATTACAATTTGGAGTTTATATCAAAAATCAAATCTATTTTCTTGGAAGAGAGGAATGAAAAGATGTGTTTTAGGTGACTATAAATGACTACAAATGACTACAAAAGTGAATATCATATCATTGATATGGTAAACATATTTTGTTTATTAAAGTAAACTTTATTTTGTAATTAATTTATACCTTTTATTATAATAATTTTAATAAAACAAGAATAAACTTGCGATTCATATTTTGCTAATCAACTTTATTTTAGATTTAAAAATAAACATATTTTTATTTATTCAATTGCTATCCGATTCGTGACATATTGGGATAATATGTCAAATTGTTTGATATGTTATGTTTATTAAAGTATATTTTTGTAATAAATGTATAAATTTGTCTAATGTTTGCCGAATAACAAACTTAATAAAAGTATTGAAAATATTATTTATTGAAATAAGAATAGTATTGCAATCGTTTTGTTCACTCAACAGATTCTGTCGATTGATCTGTCAATTGATGAAAATCATTGCGATTGGCAAACAATTGAGCGCTAAATAATTGAATAATTGTTATAATTATAAACGAGACGATCAGTAATACGAGTCCAACGAGAAATGCTGTCCACTGTTGGGAAGGACTGGCCATAAGAAAGAGACGAACCGACGGCTCATTCACAGCGCTTTCAGTCCACGACGAGTACAGCTCTGAGTTGGAAATGCCGTTGTCTTGAAAGGCCGGAGATCTCGCAAATTGTCTTATAATCTGCGACCGAATACAAGTGCCGTTACGGTTGGGCCCCGGAATCCAGTTGTAGTCATATCTCTGTAAACATTAAATCAAATAAATAACTGATTTTAGAAATTCATATCACATTAAACACAAACTTTGTCGCTATCGCTCTCATCCGATGAGCACTTGGCTTCAGTCGTGTTCAGCACTTCTTCGCCATTAAAATAAGCCAACAGTCTATATGTATATGAGTTTATATTATGGGTTAGAGTGTATTCAGTGTACACTTTGACCGGTTGCGAGGGTTTGGCTAAACATGTTTTAAACGGGGAAATAAATTAAATTAATATCATGTTTACTATTAACNCAGCACTTCTTCGCCATTAAAATAAGCCAACAGTCTATATGTATATGAGTTTATATTATGGGTTAGAGTGTATTCAGTGTACACTTTGACCGGTTGCGAGGGTTTGGCTAAACATGTTTTAAACGGGGAAATAAATTAAATTAATATCATGTTTACTATTAACAACATTTATATAAACCTTTCTTATAGACAGTATTAAATAAAGAGCAGTTCGTGTCTATAAAGTAGCACTCGATTAGCTGTTGGACAACAGTCTCATCCGATACGAGTCTCGTGCCATTTCCCGCCGGTGCCGACGCGTTGACCGCCGACTTATTTGTCATCAAATCATAGATAGTGTTCGCCATTAGAGTCGATATCATTGATAAATGTTTGGTAAGATTGGGACCCGAGTTGTTAAGGCGTTGGAAGTCGTCGTACAAACTGTGGTAGAATTTATTGGTGTATTCTTTGCGATGG